CGTGAACAAACCTAGGAACACCCAAATCCTCAACTTCAGGTTCTTTTGTGCTTCCTGACTTTTATCTAAAGACTTATTTGGTTATAGTGTTTTATGTTTTATTTGGGTTGGGACATAGGAGTGGGTGGGAGTGCCTCCTGGAATACTGTGGTATTGTTGAATCAGCGGAGTAATCTTTATAAATATGTGACTAATTCTGGGCTTAGTTCCACAGCCCCAAGTATGAAGAGCCAATATGTTTAACAAGCTAAACACAGGAACACTAGAATGGATTGCCTTGGCCAAACTATAGGCTTTGCCAAGAATCTGATGCAATAGAGAAGGAAAAACAACCTTCTGAAAAGAACAGTCATCAATTTTTTCATGTTTTAATATAGTGGAGTTTCCTGGTTTTATGTATAGGCACTCTAGAAAAGAAAACAAGAAAATGCTTCAGGCCGATAGAGAAATCAAAACACATATCAAAGCAAAGAAGAATGTACAAAAAAATAGTCACTAGCAGCAGAGCCTAACCAGCAGCACTTTTCAACTTCCATACCACCAGGAGTTCTTAATCTTCTCTGCCTGGCTCCTAAAGCCACCGCTAAATGAAACACCCAAGTTCTGTCTTAGACATGCCTGGTTCTTTTGTCTTCCATATCATCTTACATATGAGAGCTTCTTTAACCTCATTTCTTGTTTTCTATTTTGAATGGATTTGAAAAGTATCACAGGTGTTGAAGTTACTGCTTTTTTAGTGCTTGATAACCACATCAAGTATTCTCAAGAGACCCCTTGGATCACCTATATCTCTTGCTGTTTCTATTTACCACTAACAACAACAACAACAAAAATCACCTAATATTAGTGAAGTGAATGAAACTACTCTTAATGAAGCATATACTAGTGAGAGATAATATTAAGTAAATTATTCAGTGGGACAAAACTGTTTTCCTGTCTTAACAGTCTACAATACATTTGAGTTATCTGGGAGAGCCCTTAACCCTATCCTCTGCACCTTGAGGATAAGAGAATGAGAAATTTTATCTCAGGTCAGGAACTAGAACCCACGAGAAGAGGGGACAATTAGGAGAAAGCCCTAGGAGGATTAGGAAGAAACAGGAGCTGTGCAGTCCCTGGTGGTTTTTCAGGATACCCTCCTCCTTGCCGCCTTACCAGCACTGCCTTCTTTTCTTTCTGTTTGGATCCCTCCTCCCCAACCCATTTTTCCTGCTATAATCTCTTCTTCCTCTGTCTTGCCTCTTCCTGGCATTACTTTACTGCTCTTTTACCAACCTGAACCTTGGATTAAACCTAGCTCAGGTAAGAACTTAATTACTTTAAAAATATACGAGGGATTTGGAGGGAGGCAGCATGGGTACAGTGGAAATAAGACAAGCCTAAATTCTGTTTTTGTTTCTTTTCGCTTGAAGCTCTGTGACCTCAGGCAAGTCATTTTTCATTTCTGGGCTTCACTTTCCTCATCTGAAAATAAAATTGAATGTAAATGAACTCAAAAGAGTCTACTAGTGCTAACACAGATTTCCTCCTTTTTCTTGTGAATGAGAATATACGGGATGGGAATACTCGAAGCCAATAGAATGTTTACATTTCTGAGGTTTGAGAGCCCCTACCATTGGTTCTCACCTGGAATCAGAAGCCTGCTGTTGTGTGGGACGGTACTGATCTTGAGACTTTAATAAAGGCAGAAGAAAACCTTGCACATTCATAGTGAGACCTCAAGTCATTAAGAAACATCCTGTTGAGGCATAGATCAAACCCCATGAGAGTAACAGCTCTTTCAAGGAATAAAACTATATCAACAAGGTTTCTGGACCCACTTATTTCAAGTAGTAGTGTAATAAAATTCCACCACCAATAAAATTATTGATGTTTTAAGACCCTTTAAACCTATTGTGGCTACAGTGTGCTGACTTGCCCTTTTATAGGCCAGTCTGCTTCCTTCAGTCCCTGCTCTCAAAGGGGAAATCCCATCACCTCAGCTAACCAGACCGAAGAAGAGAGTTGGACAGCCAATGGTGGCCTCTCCTAACCAGAGGTAAGAAATCTCAGGACTTGGAACTACAATTTTCATCTCTTCTTGTAGGTTCTGGCCAAATCCTCCTCCCATCCTCAAAGTTAGCCCATGAGGGGACTATCCTCAGTTTGAGGTGTCTTGTAGAAGGGGAAAGGCTAGTGATATTATAGTTTCAAGCCAAACAAAAAGGAGTAGTTAGGGGCGCCTGGGTGGCTCAGTTGGTTGGGCGACTGCCTTCGGCTCAGGTCATGATCCTGGAGTCCTAGGATCGAGTCCCGCATCGGGCTCCCTGCTCGGCGAGGAGCCTGCTTCTCCCTCTCTCCCCCCTCTCATGTACTCTCTCTCTCTCTCTCATTCTCACTCTCTCAAAATAAATAAATAAATCTTTAAAAAAAAAAAAAAGGAGTAGTTAGTATACTTGGTTCTAGCCTACTGTTCAAGACCTTTGAACCCCATTGTAAACCCAGGAAGTGGCAAATAAGCCTGTAGAAAAACAGCTTCTGAACATCTTGTTCTCTAGCCTTAGATTGCTTCTATCAAGAAGTGTTGCTGGTTATGACGTCTTCCCAGTGGACCCTGTCCTGGGGTGAGGGGCTCTGATAACATTGTATTTTCTGTTCATCCTTAAAGATTTGTCACCATTTGCCATCAGGCAGATTCTTCACCTCTACTCTATTCTGTAGCAAATGAGTGAGAGAAAGATGATTTTAAGTATCCAGAACTTACGTGTATTAAGACCACTTCCAATCTAAGACCTAACTTGGAAAACAGGATCATGAATCTCACCACCAGACTGCCAACCTGTTTTGATTACTTTCACCTCCTGTTTTATTTTCATGGTATTGGTAAAAGTCCAAGTAGCTTGTCTGGTAGCAAAGACCTGATATTCCCTTATAGGCTTAATCAGATCTCTGGGGTTGGAGCCTGGGCATAGGTCTTTTTCTTTTCTTTCTTTCTTTTTTTTTCTTGTTTGTGTGCTTGTCTGTTTTAAGCTCCCACATTCTAATGGGTAATCTGTGTTGAGCCTCTGATTTAAACTCTCGGTCCTTCATCCAGATTGCATGCATGATGTATCTGGCTTTCTAAGGCCAACAACCTATCTCTAGTTCCCCAGCCCTTAGCGCACACAGCGCCTCAAGAAAAGTTTTAGAGTAGTAGTAGTATTTAAAAAAAAAAAAAAAAGACAACAGTATTATAGTAGTAGTAGTAACTACTGCTGTCATTTTGTAGTAGAAATTAACAGAAAGGTGACCTCACTTCCACAGTGACCCTTCTTGAAAACTTTTGACACTTCTCAGTCTCTTTTGGTGAATCCTCTCCCTTCACTACCTCTTAAATAAATGTTGGTGTGCTTAGGCCTCTTCGCAGGCTGTACCTTCTGTCCAGGTGATCTCATCCCATACTCTCGGATTTCACTCCACCCAGATCTGAATCACTAGCCCAGATTTCTACCCCTGAGCTTCAGACCCATGTATCTAGCTGCTTCCTGTGCTGTTCCATCTCAGCATTCCACAGATAGTATACATTCCCCAGTATCAGATATGTGTCTCTTGTTTTCCCTGTTATATTAGGGAGTACTACTACCACCAAGACTTTTTTTTTTCCTCTACCAAGACTTTCAAGTCAGAAGACTGGAAATTATCCTAGTTTAGTTCCCTTCCTCTCACCCCACCCTTCATCAGTCACCTTCTCTTTCCCCTTCTGTGTATGGGGGTCCTGGGGGATCCTAACCACTTCTCTCCATCCTCATGCCTTTGGTCCACCCCATTTCACTAGGCTAGACTCTTCACCTCCAGGCTCACTGTCCCCCATCTTATTCCTCACTCCCCAACCAAACTTACCTCAAAAACAGAGTTGTGATAGATGGCTCCCCACAATCCGCTCCCAAGCCTTACCCTCCAGCACTGTCAGGACCCTTCTTCTAGGTATACACCACTTTGTTAGAGGCTCAGAAACATTTGGAACAATAAAATATAAATATCCTTGTTACTCTAAGGACCTGCAGACCTAAGGGACTGCATCATCTGGGATCTTATGAAAAACTTAGAATCTCAGGTCCCACCCTAAACTTACCATATCAAAATCCTCATTTACAAGACCTCCAGGTGATTTATGTGCACATTGTAGTTTGAGAAGCACTGAGTTATAAAACAATTTTTAATGAGTGGAGAAATCAAAGCTATGGGGAAATCTGATGAAGTCAGAACTGAAGTAACATTAATACTGTTAAATGCATGAAGTCTGGTGGTCTGCACTTAATGGAGGGTGGGTGGTAATACTGATTCTGAGGAAATCGGAAGACAACTTGATCAAATCAAGATTTTTAGTATAAGTAGGTACTAGGCTTAATACTTTCTCTTCCACCACCCCTCTCCTGCCTCCTTTCATATCACAGTGCCTACATCAAAAAATCCCCTAGGGCCAGACTCTCTGATCTTCCTTTCCAGGGGGCTAAAGACCAAGCCCTCCTCACCAGCCCCCTGTCCTTCCTTACTTTCCTGAGGTTGGTTAGCTGTGGCAGCAAGATCAAAGGGCAGGCCTCTCTTATCCCCCAACATCTATTCATTATTCCCTCCAGGTATCACTTCTTCCAAAAAGGCCACCCTCCCTCCCTGACCTTCCCCTTCCTGCTGTGCACCAGGCCATCGGGCCACTTTTTACCCTGTACTGTAATTGATTAATGGGAGGCAGTCCCCAGCTGTGCTGAAGGGCCACAGGCTTTGGAATCAGATACTCTCAGGTCTGAATCCCAGCTCCCCCTCCTACAAGATAAGACTTTGAGCCAGTGACTTAAGCTCTCTGGGCTTTCCTCTCCTCACCTGTAAAATGTGGCCAATAATAGTACTTTACTGTCCAAAACCGCTGAGAGAAATGGGTGAATTAACACATGGCAGTAACGTGTGCCATACCTCACCGGGCCCCGGCGCCCGGTTTAAACAGTAAATAGCTGAGTGGCTGCAGCGCTCCGAGTCAGGCTGGCCAGTGTTGAGCCAGGAGGAACTGGAGGCCTGTGCGGGGCGCGGGACCCCTTTCACCTTTCGACTAGTCGGGCTTGCCCCCTCGCGACTAAGGCGGGGCCGTCGGATTGAGTGACGGCTAGTGGCCCGCCCCGGGCGTGACGACGTCCTGGTGTTGTTGCTGCGGCCGCACGTGGTGCACTGAGTCCGCTTCAGAGTTAGCTGCGCTCCGCGTCCTGGGCACCAGCTGCTTGCCTTCCTGCTCGTCCCGCTCACTATGTCCACATACACGAGCTGCCCGATTCCGGGGGGCAGGGACCGGCTGCCCGACTGCTACAGCACCACGCCGGGGGGCACGCTATACGCCACTACCCCGGGAGGTCAGCGGGCCGGGCTGGGGGTCCGCGGGCATTGTGCAGGCCAGCGCGTGCGTCCTGCCGCGGGGCGGGAGTGGGGAGGTGCAGGCCTTGGATTCTGTCCGCAGGCCCCTTTGCAGGTTGTACCTTTTGCAGGGGGTGGGGGATATTTGGAACTGAAGCCCAGTTCCCTGAAACCTCAGAGTAATGCACGATGGCTTAAAGCCTAGCTTCCGGGTGACTGTGGGCTGAAATCTTCGCTATGGCCTGGGTTCTGGGTTCCTTGGTCACCGGCTCCTCCCGACTTTGCCGCCTGGGATTAGGAGCCGAAGCCCCAGCAGTGCGTGGCCTCAGCAGGAAGCACCAGGTCTTACAAAGCGGCTAGAGCAGGACTCAGGCAGTTGGGGCCAGGAGCTTTGGGTATCTGCGGCTGGCTGGCTGGCTGGCTGTTTGGTTGGGCTGATTGCCTGGGATCTTGAGCTGCTGGGCTCCCGACCCAGGGTTTCCTGCCACGTGGAGCAGAGGGGAGGGGCAAGAACAGGGTAGGGCCCTTTGAGGACAGAACTGAGGCCAAGTTTCTGTAGGCTGGGGCTGAGCCTGATAGGACTAGGGAGGGGTCAGGATGAGAACAGTCTGTCCCTGTGTTTCCCGGGGAAAGCAGCTGTCCAGAGGAACACAGCTTCTCCCTGCAGGGTATCAGGATCCAAGGGGGCAGCGGGGTGAAACTCCTCTTTACATCAGCTACTTGGCTTCCTGAGCTCACTGCCTGAAGGACTAACGTCCCCCACCCCCAACCAAAGTAGGGAAGTCCCAGAGCCAGCAGAGCCAGACGAGAACAGTCCAAAGTACCTGAGTTCTCCAAGTTTTGTGCTCCTAGAACTGAGACCTGAAGCTTCCCTAAATCAGAAGCCCCTGCCTGGAGCAGCTGGGATGCCCCCCCTTGCTTTACAGCACTTAGCCACATCTTGGTTGGACCTGGAAGTCTTTAAGAGCTCTGAAGGCTCATCAGCTGAGGTCCCAGCTGGGCTGCAGAGCAGCAGCCCTTTAATACATGAGGATGTGTGAGTCCCAGGTCCCTAACAGGCCTGTGTGTGACACTCCCTTACAGCTCTGTATGCAGGCTCCAGCCTCTTAACTGGTCCCTACCCCTTGACAGGCACCAGGATCATCTACGACCGAAAGTTCCTGCTGGAGTGCAAGAACTCACCCATTGCTCGGACGCCCCCCTGCTGCCTCCCTCAGATTCCCGGGGTCACAACTCCTCCAACAGCCCCACCCTCCAAGCTGGAGGAGCTGAAGGAGCAGAAGGAGACAGAGGAAGAGATACCCGGTAAGGAAAGCAGGGCCTAAAATTAAATGCTTTGAGTCCAAATGCCCCTGTTAAGTAGAGTGGGGGTTTAATGCTGAGAGGGTTTTCTGCACTGATGCTAAGCTTTCTGAGCTCGTGGCCCAGCCCAGCAACCAGTCCTGCCTTCTCTTTCTCCAGATGACGCACAATTTGAAATGGACATCTAATCCAGTGCAGATGATCCTGTGTGGAATTAGAGGAATCCCTCATACCGCTGCTGCCATCACCTCTTCCTGGTGTATTCCAGACACCAGGTGGCCTCATATAATCTGGAAGGGAGTGACTTGTTGGTTTTGGGCCTCCCTTAGTTTTGAGGTAGCTAGACCAGGGATAGGAGTGGGCAACTTGCCAAGCCCTTAGCTCTACTTTCCCTTCGGTCTGTAGGTACTCCTCCCAACCCCCAGCCCTCCAACATCAGGGGCTGAGGCTGGGACTAAGGGGTGGAGTTATGTCACTGTCTGATTGCTTAGTAAAAATTCAAAGAATGCTTTGACTCCGGTGTTCTCAACACTGACCTTCCTATCTCAGCCACACGGCCAAGGGCCCCAGCAGACCTGGTTAGGATCAGAGATCCCAGGTCCCTTCCCAGCTGTCATTGGGCCCACCCCCAGCAGCAGTTAAGAGCCTAAGCCAGGCTATGGGGGCAGGCTACAGGAGCCGCCAAACCATAAACAGTAGTAGCCTGACCCCAGCCAAGGACCGTTCCAGCCTTTCGAGGAAGCAGCCTTCCTGGAATTGGGCCTCTCTGGCAGTCCCTCCCTGTCTGTTCCAAAGCAGGAAAAAAGAGGCACTGCCTTAGAGTTTAACCTTCTCCACTCTCTCCCCATGCCTTTTCTGCCTCCCACCTGTAAGTATCATCCCCTGTTCCAACACTGAAAACCTATATTCCCCCCCTCTCCGCTTGATTTGAACCTCTCTGGCCCTTTCCACCTGGCTCTCTTGTCCTCAGAGGCTTAGAAGAGACTTTAGGGCCAAAAATGAGGTAGCAGCTCTTTTGGTGAGTCAGACAGAGTCATGATCCTACCCCTAACCAACCCCCAGCCCCCAAAAAAGTCATGATCCCATATCTTAGCAATCTGGTCTTTTTCTCCTTCAATTTATACCGCTATGTTCTAATCTCTACAGCACTGTGTATCTCAAAGGTGACGGTGCTAACAGGGCGGTCTCCTTTTCTTGAGGGAAAAATCTCCCCTGCTATTTAAACCTCTGTTCTTCTGCTGAAACGAAATTATCCAAAAATAGAGATACTCAGCCCAGCAAGGAATGTGTGTTTCTGTCTATTTGGGGGGAAAGTGGCAGGCAGTAATTGGTCATGCCTAGCAAAGCCATTCATGACGAAAGGAAGGAGAGAGGTTTGCAGGGTACACAAGGAGCAAGGCAGTCAAGGACACCACAAGCAACTAGTTTGGCACAAGAAAGCCTTCTCTCTCCTACCCAGGGCCCACTATTAAGATGTTTTTATTGAAATGATATGTTATGGGTAACAGGTGGCTTCCCTGTGGCCCAGGTGGCTGACACCTCTTCCCCCAGAGATGGGTAGATCAGGCAAAGGATCCCAAGGAAGCAGACAGTCTCCCAAATGGTAAGGGAGCCAGGTGAGAGAAGGCCCAGGCATAGGAAATGGTGTGAGTCGGGATCCCACGGGGGATTATGGAGCCTCTTGGACGCCTGGTACCGTCTGGTTCTCCTCAGCTGTGGCTGTAGATTTCTCTTCATTGGACTCTTTCTCTGAAGACAGATTCCTCTTTTCTGCAATTAATCTTTTAATTCCCACCATCCACTGACTGACCTCAGTCACATGGTCAACCATGAGTGAGCGGTGGATGTCATCTGCTGCATCCCACTGGTGACTTGAAAGCTCTGAGGAAAGAGAGGAGGTAAACAAGCAGCTTGGGGCAAAAGACCTAGCTCTCAGTCCTCTGATCCCAACCAGTCAGAATCTCAGCATCTCTTCCAGCTGAGCCGTCCATGACAAGTTGAGGGAGCTAGGCTAGACCAAGGACCTACCCATACCTTGCACCAGCAGAGCCATCCTCTTCTTCACAGGCACTGACAGCTTCCCTCCAGCCCACTGTTCCCGCAGCAGAGCCAGGCGGCGGCTGATGTCATCACATACTTGCTTCTGAGAGACAGAAGCCCCCTCCAAGTCAGTGCTGCTAGCCCAACAGGAGCAGGGGAAAGGCAACGCCAAACAGGAAGTGGACCTGCTCTCTCTGGCCCAGAGAAACACTTAAGAGTTCTGGGTAGAGGCCCCACGGAGAATCTGACAAAACTCATGGATCTCCTCCTCCCAAGAAAAATGCATATATGGCTAGAATTTTACAATTTCCAGAGTTTCTCAGATCCTCGGAAACTCATTCTGGAGTGCTACTTTACAAGTAAGAAAATGAAGGACCGAAGTCCTTTTAACCCCCCACTGGTGTGCCAGGGCTTATTACCTTTGTGTGGCCACGGCAGTCCTCCAGTGCCTCTTCCAAAGGTTTGAGCACATCTTCCAGCAGAGTTTCAGATTCGATGACTGGGAAATTTGTTGGCTCCACACTGGAGGCAGGACAACTTCCCACAGGTGGGGGCCTGGAAGCCTTATTAGAAGGAGGTGGAGGCCCCACTGCGGGAGGCCCAGGAGAAGTCTGTGAGGTGGGGACTGAAAAAGTAAAGCGGGATCGAGCAAACATGGCTACAACAGGTAAAAAGCTCGATTCTACCTTCATCCCTTCTAGAAGGCTACTCTCTGGGACAACTCGTTCCCTCAAAAACGTGTATTTATGAAGTCTCTACCATGTGCCAGACAATGTGCAAGGCACCAGACACAGAGTAGTAAACCAGATGGATTAAGTTCCTGACCTCAGAGCAGAAATCCTAGGGAAAGAACACACACACACACACACACACACACACACACACACACAAATTACCAAATTATGTTGCATGCTACAAAGAAAACATGATGTAATAAAGAGGAATAGTAGGGGCGCCTGGGTGTGTAGCTCAGTTAAGCCTTGGACTCTTGATTTCGGCTTAGGTCATGATCTCATGGTTGTGAGATGGAGCGCCGAGTCAGGCTCCTCGCTCAGCATGGAGGCAGCTTGAGATTTTCTCTTCCTTTCCCTCTGTCCCTCCCCCCACTCATGCACACTCTAGCTCTGCTCTCTCTCAAAATAAAATCTTTTCAAAAGGGGGGTATAGTACAGGGAACCACCTAGACTGAGTGTTCAAGGAAGGCCTTCTGAGGTGACTTCTAAGTTTATCCTTGCTTACCCACTATGTGGCATTTGGCAGGTTACCCTTAACCCCTGAGCTTGGGTTCCTTTTCTATAAAATGGGGATATCATGGTAGTAGCACTTACTTCACAGGATTGCAGTGATGATTAAGTAAGAATATAGGTGCAACTGCTAGATTACTGTGTAACAAAAAGTGTTCACAAAGTTAATAGCTAATGGATGAGGTAGCTGCAGCCACAAAGAATCATGTACTGGGCAGAGGTAAGGGCCGTGCCTAAGAGCTGGGTAAGTCCTGACTTGTTCAAGTTACACAAACCAGCCCTGCATGGCTGGAAATTATTAACACTGAAGAAAGCAGTATTAGCTATCTCTGGAGAAGCAAGCAGGAGTCCAGACCGTATAGGGCTTTGGAGGCTTTTGGTCTTGAGCCTCATGGTAATGGTAAGCCACTGCAGCTTTATAAAAGCAGGGGATGGTGTAACTAGACTTGTTTTTTAAGACATTCACTCGGTATGGTCTGTGAAAAATAGATGAGAATACGTCAAGAATGGTGTCATGGACAACAGCTGGGAAGTTAATGGAGTAGTCCAGGAAAGAGAATCCTGGCATGGACTAGAGAGCAGAGGAGGGGAAATGGAGTGGTCCAAGATTTATTTAGGAGGAGAAAGCAACAGGACTTTGTGGATTGGGAGTGAGGGAGAGAGGAGTTAAGGACGACTCCTGGTTTTTGCCTGTAGTAATGGGATGGTCGAAAGCACTATGGAAAAAGAGAAGAGAAAAGTCAATTGACTTCTAGGCATCAACATTCACATGGATGATTAACTCATCTTATAGTCTGGCCTCTCAGTTTCTTAAGCTCCTCGTCTCCAATGATGATTTTTCCCACCCACCCTCAGCCTTTCACTCTTCTCTGCCTTGTTCTCAACAACACTGTGCCATCTCCAAAACCTGACCACCTCTCCTATCCTTCCAGCCCAATCAATCAGATTTCATGCATTAAAATCACTCCCTTATAGACACTCTTACCTCATTTTGTCCCCTCCCACTGTCCCACTTTCCTGGTAAACCCAACTTGCCTGCACTTGTTAGGAGGAAAAACAGAACCATGCTGTTGAGTTACACTTCAAATTCATGGGTACAGATACTAAAAGGTATCCAGCACTATCTGGAATTCCTGTTCTTTGCCTCATTTTTCCATTCTTCAGAACTCTTCCCATATTTTCTCCCTGAATTTTTCTGTCTTCTCCCCCTACTTTTCCTTTCCCTGCATTCTACATCCGACAGTGCCTCATATTTCACTGAGAAAAGGGAGGTGGTTAAACAGGAACTTTCTCCTCTTACCACCAGTTCTACTAATCTGCCTGTACCTGTGGCCACTTTCCTTCCTCTGATAGATGAAAGTTTCCTGCTCCTTTCAGAGGCCATCTTTCCAGCTATACTAATGCCAGCCTCTTGTCTTCTCTAGGTTTCTCTCCTGTAGTTAACCTGTTTTCCTGCCCCACCAGTTCTCCCACTAGAGAATCATCCCATCAGCATACAAACATGCTCCAGTGTTTGCCATCTTAAAAACAAAAATCCTCCCTTACCTCACATTCCAACCTTAGGCACAGCCTCACAGCAGAATTTCTTGAATGACCTATAGTCTATAGTTAGTCTCTCTACTTCTTTTTACATTCTCTCCTCAGCCCATCCAGCTGGGTTTCTACTCTCATCACAGACTGCTTCTGTGGTAATCAGTGTCTTAATTTAGTTTGACTCATCTAGTGGTCCCTTTTCTCAATCTGTCCTGACCTCTCAGCATCATCCATCATGGTTGAGTCAAAATTTTACTCTGAGTAAATTTTACTTTTCTTCTTGCTGCTTTAGCTATTTCTCAAGGCCCTTTGTAATTCCTTTTCTACTCAACCTTGAAATGCTAGAGAGCCTTGGGGCTCCATCTTGGACCCTCTTTAGGCCTCTATCCACACATTCTTTTTAAGTAACCTCATTCAAGCCCACACCAAACACCAACCATACAATCATGACTCATTTCTGTAATTCTGGCCTAGACCTCTCCCTATAGTAGCAGCCTAAATTTAACATGTCCAAGACGAAGCTTGCTTTTCCCGTCCCCCCAAACCTTTATTGCCCCCCAGCCCCTGGTTTCCCGTATCTATGAACAATATCAGCCAGTTCAAGCGAAAAGTTTAAGTTATACTGGTTCTTCTTTCTCTCATCTATATCTACCCTACTGACCTCCTCAGTAACATACGCCACATCTATCCAATCCCTGCTACCGCTATAACTCTCACTCTTGGCCAAACCGTTCAATCTTGCCCATGTTACTGAAATAGCCTCTTAATTTGCCTTTCCACATCTTCGCTAAAATCTATTGTCCATACAGCAGGCACAGTGATCTATTTTAAGATGTACATCAGTCAGTGTTTCTCAAGCTGGGGAGAGTTTGCCCCCAGGGACAAATGTCTGGAGGTGCTTTCGGCTGTCACAACTGAGTGAATGCTACTTGGCCTCCAGTGGGTAGAAACCAGGAATGCTACAAACATCCTACAAAGTACAGGACAGTCCCTCACAACAAAGAATTATCTGGCCCAAAATGTCAGTTGTGCCAAGATTAAGAGACCCTGGTTTGTGGGGCACTTGGGTGGCTCAGTCATTTAAGCATCGAATCTTGATTTTGGTTCATGTCATGATCTCAGGGTCGTGAGATTGAGCCCCGGATCAGGCTCTCCCTGCTTGGGACTCTCTTGCTCCCTCTGCCCCTCCCCCACTCACTCTTTCTTTTAAAAAAATAATTTAAAAACCTTGGTTTGTGTCATTCTCTGCAGTGCTGAGTATGGTTAACATAGGGGTGCTGAAAGAGCTAAATCTGAGCCCCTTTTGCGGGGCCATAGCTCCAGCTGTTCGCACAGGACATGCTCAGAAGTAAAGGTGTCCCTCTAAACTTTTCAGTGGCTTCCAACTTTACCCAGACTAAAATACAAAACTCCTTATCCTGGTTTATAAAACCCACTATGATCTGGCCCCTGCCTACTTCTCAGATTTTAATTTCTCTACCTAACCCACTGTGCTCTAGCCATTAGGTATTCCCTCAGTCTCTGAATTTGCCAAACTTTTTCTCAGGGCCTTTGCACTGTTTCCAGCACCTGGAATGCTCTTACACCTGATCTTTGCTTGGCTAGATCTTAACCATTCAGCTTAAACTCAGCTCCTCAGCCACCTTAGTTACAAAGTCACTCTTGCATTACCCTGTTTCTTCTGCAGAGCCCTTACCACTACTTAATTTGTCTATCTCCAAAGCTAGAGTGTAGCCTAGCTTTGGAAATAGACATGAAAACAGAAACCTTTTTTGTCTTGTTCACTGCTGTCTAGCTTGTCCTCAAGCAGTGCGTGGCTCAGAGATGCTCAGTAGATAACACTGGATGAATGAATGAATGATGCTCAGTAGATAACACTGGATGAATGAATGAATGAACACATTAAGTCTGGATGCTTATCATAGAACCAAGTGAAGACGTAGCACAAGACAAAGGAATATATCGCTACGGTATTCAGGTTGGAAATAAAATGTGGAAACAGAATAAAAACTGTATTAAAAAAAAAAAACAGGTCTGGATGAGCTCACCTACAGTGAAAGCAAAGACAGATTCTATTGAAACTTAAAATTTATTGACATAAATGTCAGTAGAGAAGGGGCCCGGAAAACGGCCTGCCCTGTGCCCCTTTATGGAGCTCAACCTCTCAGACCTAAGAGGAGCACAAAAAGGGCCCTCGGGCCAAGTTTATCCCTGGCACCGCCCTCTCGGCCGGTCTCCGCGTACAGGGCCCCCACGCACCTCTAGGGGAGCCATCCTGGGGAGCGGCGACCCTCTTGGTGAGCGGCGTGCGCTTGGGTCCCCCAGCTAGGGTCTGCAGCCCGTAGGAGAACTGCGGCGGGTCGTTCCAGCCACGCTCCTTGTTGCCTGCGGAAGTGAGGGGACATGTGAAGCGAGCCCCAGAGAGACGACGGCTCCACCACCCACCCCCCCTCGTGCAGTAGCCGCCTTCAGCTTGGGTAGGGGGACGACCCAGCGCTCCTAGGCCGCCGGCCGCGCTCACCCGGCTTCACGTACAGCTCCGCCATCTCCACTTCCGCAAGGCCGGCAGCACAGCGCGTCACTTCCGGGCCGGCCGTTCACCCGCGCGGGCCGGGGCCGCCTCCGGGCCGGCCGGTTGCCAGGAGCCTTCTACGTTGAGTGGCTGTTCAGAAATGCCGGGAGCCGCTGTGGGAACGCTGCCCCAGCTCCCTAAGGAACTCGAAATCTCCAGCTAATAAAACATCGGGACCCTGATCACAAGGCACTAAAGGGGACTGTTTTCCAAGAGGCGGCGCTCTAGGAGTCCTAATCCCCTGTAGGTTCAAACTCCGTCACAGTTGCTCTCAGGAGTAAGTTTTAACCACCAGAAACTCCTGCTTCACAAATGTCCCTGTGTGATCTAACCAGCTGGAATTCTAGAACCTCACCTCTCTCTACTGCCCTGCACATTTATACTCTCCAGGCTCCGTAACTAGTATTCACTTTCCTTCAGTACTTAAGTATCTTACTGGAGCCTCCACAACCCTGAGATTTCCTAGTTGTACTATATGTTATCTACCTTATTTAATGCTTGTTCATCTCCCCTTCTGAGAGTGGAACCCATATTTTATATCCCCACTGTCTAGCAGACCTTAAAAGATACATTTGTTGCAAGAATGAAGTCAGATTTCTGCCACACCCATGTCCTCATGTGACTACAGGCAGCCAACACCAACCAGAGACACAGACACTCACCTCACGCAGGTGTTAACCCCCAACCCTGTCCCAGGCCCAATATACTCACACCCAGTGAGGTCACTGAGGGATTTTTATTTGTACTGATTTTGCTATAAAGTGTTGCTGAGGTAGAGCCAACGGTCCAGGGCTGGACAGGGGCAAGGAACAGGGACCCAGGGAAAGGGCAGCCAGGGGCCTGGGTTGTAGTGCAGGCCTCTCAGTCATCCCTATAAACATTTAATAAACCGGGCAATAAAGAGAGGGTAGGCAAGAGCCGGAGGGGCAGGCAGAGAAGGCTTCAAGGAGTGAGAGGCTACAGGCCCCTGCAGAATGAAGGGGTATAGAGTTGGGCATGGACCCAGAGCCTCCTTACCCAGTCCTCCTGGATTAACCTAGGGCATATGGAGCAGAGAGGGTTTCAGACGGAAGGCATCAAGAAAAGAAAAGACACCCCGCTTTCGAGGGGCCGCCCCTGCACCCCCAACCCCTCCTTTGAGCAGGGGGAGCGGGAGGGGACCTCCTGGGGAGTCCACGGAGCTGGTCCGCTTGAGCCGCAGGCGGGCACGGGCCTGGGCACCCCAGGCCTTGCCTCGAGCTGCAGAGGCCACAAGACACTTCTGGTACTGAACCTAGGGAAAAGGGGAATGTGAGGATCCAGCTCCTTTCTGCCCCTGGACTCCCTGACAGCTTCTGCAGAACAGGCAACTGGCCATGGCTTCAGTCCGCTATGAATGAGGCTGATAGTCGGCCCCATCTGGAGCCCCTACAGCATTCCCAGGGAGCTCAATAACAGAAACAGAAAATTTGACATTTCCTGAGCATTTAAGGAGGGCTGGACACTGTGCTAAGTGCTTCGCATAAATTTAACTTAATTCAAAGTTATTTATCAGGTGTTATAACCATTTTGCAAATGAGGAAATTTTGGTTCAGAGAGAATATATGTTAACTTGCCCAAGGTCACCTAGGCAAAAAATGATAGAACTGGTATTCAGACTTACCCATAATGTACCTTAAGTGATCTTCCTGACCCACAAACTTAAATTCACTGCTCAAAACCTTTCAATGGCTCAAAGTGACTTGGGACAAAATAAACTCATGACCACAATCTCTAAGTTCTTCCATGACCTGATGTTTTTTCTGCCCCCATCTCTCACTTCATCCGCCCCTCCAGATACACGAGATTCTTTTAGATACCCTAATCCACCAATATTGCTCTCATCTTCACAGCTGTGTGTCCGTGTATTTGGCACACCTTCTGTCCCAGTCCCCTTTACCGAACTTCTTCCTTAGACCTTCAATTCTCAGCTTCCTATCACCTCTTTCAGGTGGCCTTCTGGAATGGTCCGTCTCCTTCATCATCCTGTGGTGTACCACTCCCTTCTGGTCTGTGTCTGATCTAACCTGAGTGTTGTGTGAGGGCAAAGTCTGTGCCTTCTCTATCAGTAAATTCCCAGGATCCAGTATGGTGCCTGGTACCCTGTAGGCACTCATGTTTGTTAAGGAAAGAGTAAGCTGAATTCATAGAGTGCAAGCATCCCACATTCCAATGCCCACAGATGCCAGGAAATAACCTAAACGAGAGAAACAGGAGAAACAGTGCCCACCCTACCGCAAACAGTCCCTACACAATTCAGCTGAATGTTGAAATTTGTATGTGTGGACCCAGTATCAGAGGTTCTGATATTTTAAGAGAAACAGGAATAGCAATTAATACATGAAATATCCTGGCTCTAACTATCAGCAACTAACTTGAACTTATTAAAAACAGCATGAAGGCCAAATAAAAGAGTAGTTTACTATAGTCAGCCCTGGGATTACTGGTTTGTGATTTCTGGGGGTGCCAATCCCGAGCCCCAGTCACCAGTACAGAGCAGCTGCAGGGCAACCCCACCCACCCATTCCCACCCGTAACTCACCATGCAAGCAGCCTGCACAGCTTCAGAGAGTCCCCCTGCATGGGGCTGGCACCAGAAGGCTGCACACTGGAAGCTCTGACGGCCCAGGTCAGCAATGAGGCCAAAGGTGTGAGGGTCACGGCCAACACCAATAAAGGTCACAAGGCGCACAGGGCACTGCCATAGTGCTTCCTCCTCTGCACCAGCTTCTGCCTGCCCACACCAGGCCTGGTCACTAGAGGACCGGGCACTGGCTGGACCCAGTGAGCTCTTCCAATAGCAAGCAATGAGCCCCTGAGCATCCCTCCCACCCCTCCACAGCCCCCACCTTCACCTTCTTCTGGTACCTGAATGGGATGTGCAGTCATTAGAGAGTCAGACACACTGAGCATGGCAGGGACCCAGGTATCCTGGTCCCCCCGGGTGGTGAGGGTACCAATGGCCTCATTCAGCACGTCCATGCCTGAGGGGACATGCCCATCATAGTGTCTCCCAGATGTAAAGAAAAAAGGGATCTGCGGGGAGTGTCTAGGCCCCTCTCACGGACTTGGGATTCAGAGAGATGGCAATAGAAGGGCTGGGGCTGGGCTTAGAATCCTGAGTTGGGAAGGATGGCACACTGTAGGCCGGACAGGGCCATGGGAGCACTCTTGAGAAATTGTGGTAGATACTACCATACCCACCTTCCCTGACCTCATGTAGCCCACCTCCTCAGCTAGCTCAGTCCTCACCCATGGCTTTGTTGACTGGCAAGGTTCCCATGTACAGTGCCTCGTACTTCTGAGCAGCCTGGTTCACTGCATCCAGCAGCTCCACTGAAATGTACACGCAGCAAGTTGGCCTGAGCACTCTCTCAATGACCCCCTTACCCACCCTTCTGAGAACTGGCGCTAGTAGAAGGAAGGCCATGGATGCTCCTCCAATTCAGAGTTTGGGATCCCTGGAACCAGCACACATCAGAAGTCCCACATCTCCAGGGAAGTACTAAACAACCATGACTAAACAGCCCAAACTTCCACTAAAGTAGCCTCTTACTGCAGTGCAAGACCTCCCTCCCCATACCTTGCCGTGGCAGGTCTTCAGGGGAGATGGGGTCTAGGGAGGAGCAAGGGGAATCACCACTGACACCTACTCGCTCTGACAAGATCTGAAACACAGTGCAACCAGCATGAGATAAAGGGAGAGGGTCAATACTTCCCTGACCCAACCACCTTGGAAGCTTCAGACCAGCTCCATACCCACATTCCCTGCCCCATTCTTGGCCCTTACCTGGGCACAGAGCCCATGTAGGACACTGGCGATGGCCTTGGCAGGGACATCACAGCGAAACACATGGCACTTGAGCATACAGCTGTCTTTGTCACCCGCCACAAAAGCGAAGTCCCTGGCAGGGTGAGAGATGGGGCTGGGGCAGGGGCAGGGGCAAGGACAGGGGTGGAGATTGGGGTAGGGTAGAGGCTGGGTAGGAACAGGGACCTGTAGTGCCTGCAGGAGACTGGAGAGTCAGGCAAGGGACATGGTGGGGACAGAATAGGGAGGTCAGGGCTGGGGCTCAAGGCACCGGGCTGTCGCTCACCTGTCACTGTTCCGGAAGCATGTGGGAGCACAGGAGAGAATCAGCCCAGCCTCTCAGGCTCTCCCCCATCCGTCCCTGCTGAGCTGGGCCCACCCTCCCCAACCAGAGCTGGACCAGGCAGGGGAGGCAGAGCTTGGGTCCATGTCAGAGAATCTGTGTCCAGGGGTTCAAGTACAGAGGATCAGCATCAGTGGGGACCACAGCCTGCAGGAGGGAGGGAGGAGCAACTCTCACTTGGGGGGGGATGTAGGGGTCCTCACCGGCCCTTGGAGCTGCCCACACCCCACACACGGATGTGCACCAGAGGCTGGCAGTGGATCAGACTGTGGTCCAGAGGATTCACCAGGCTCATGGCATCCTTCTTTAGGATCATCAGCATGTTCTGGCCCTGCCAAGGAAAGGTCAGTCCAGAGCTCAGATGAAGGTGGTTGCCACGGAGAACAGGCAATTCAGCAACAACTGTCTCTGCTGGGCCCTGGGCTGAATCCCTTGAAGGGCCAGCCAGCTCACCTCACCCCAGGCACCAACTGGGGGCTGGCTGCGGCTACAGCTGCGAGTCTGGGCCAGTTGCTGGATGCAGTTATTGACTGCAATACTGCTCTTCCCTGGTACCAGATCCTCTTCGGGTACCTCTACCCAACCCAGGGAGCGGACTGCAAAGCACTGACGGGTTAGAGGAAAGGACAGGAGGGCTCTGAGTAAGTGGAGGTAGACATGGAAGTGGAACAGGAGGCAGAGTAGGATGGGAGATGTTGCAGCGTCCACACACACAAACCTTCTGGTACCCACTCCCTTCACGCTTCATCACTTCTTCCCAGCCCACTCCCACCCCTGACCTTTCCCTTGGAACAATCCACCACCCCCACCACCATTCCTTGGGCCCTCAGGCCCAAAACACTACCTTAGCCCCTGGCTCCATACTCTG